ACGCATCACGGCAATGGCCATGGTAGCCCGATGCACGCGAGTTCCGTGCAAATTGAAATGCACATGCGTTCCCCCGTTTCTTGCCCTATAAAAATCTACCCAGATCGGATAACATTCATTCGTTATTGAATTGCTACCACATGCCAAGACTGATAAGAAGTCAGCAACACCAAGCCCTTGGACGATTGCAAGCTGGACAAACCACCCGGCAAGTAGCCAATACATTTCAAGTCCACGTGAGGACCATTATCACGGTGACCAAAATCGCCTCACTAGTCTGCCATGGGGATCGACTTAGACCCGCATGTCAGGCAGTGAATAGCAATGGTCAGGATAGAAAAAAATAATACAAACAAGTGGCGTGTAATCTAAAACTCACAGTTTATTTATTTAGGCAATCAAACTCAAGTAGGGGTTACAACAACAGGAATGTAGGACCTGATAGATAAACACCTGAGTATGGAGCTAATTGACAAACTCACAACTAAATAGGCTGTGCTAATCAATCTCACCGGACGCTAGACAAGACAATGGATATGCTAACGTCTACGTCAGTCAGGAATTCACACCTTGAGACAATGAGCTGTGACCAATTAACATACGCTCTTAATTGGACCAATTTGCGGGGACTCAAAAACGGGACAATTACCTCTAAGGGATAATAGGTGGATTTAACAGAACTACAACGCTTAAAGCGTAAATAAGGATTTTACCCAAAATATCTTCCCAAAGTACTGTAAGATACAAATAGCTAGTTCTATGAACTTACAAGTACAAATAACCCTATAATAAAATGTAAGAGCAAGCAGAATAGTCTACGAACTTACAAAAAGGGTATAATAAGGGGTAAGATAAGCAAATGTGGGTATGACAAAGTTATCCAAACATTTACAGTTCAGAGAAAGTTCAAGATCTCACCAAATCCAGTCAAAGAGTCCTAGGTCGGTCCAGCAGTAAGACAGCAGCCAGCAGCGTGACCTGAGTCCGCCGAGACGTTACTGATTTACTTAACTTACTTTGGAGATTTAACGTGCGCTTTCCGACTGATGCGTATTTCGCACACGATATTTACTTAAGATTTGAGTCGGCCTTTAAAAGAAAGAGCCCCTAATTGACCATCACTAATTGGCCACTTAATTAATCAGTTAACCAATGGGAGATAAGCCTATTTACGTTGGCTAAGGCTAAACAACCCTGTCTTGTTAATGAGAGTGTGTTTTCTATAACACGGTTTTTGTAATATAACTAAAATTATATTGTGGGTATATACACATATGAACTATGAGCGTATAGGTCATAAAAAGTTCTATACACTGATATAAAATATACGACAATAAATATTCAAATGAAATTGGTAGGGACAATAAACAACGAATACACATGGGCAAAATATGTGTTCATTGACACAAAATCATGAATTACATAAAAAGTTGAAAAGTGACAATAAAAGCAAATACATATGAAGGTAGAGAATACAATTCTCTTTAAAACTGTACAAATACATATAATATTGAGTGAGAAAATTAGAAGAGAAATGACGCTAATTAGCACCGCGTCACACCATATACAGGCTCCAGCAACGGTACCAGACCACCAACACTATAGATGACTGACCACGTAGTGGAAGACCAAGGGTCACCATCCGAATTCAGGATCGTCAGATTGTGCGACAGCATTTTCAAGATCGCTTTGTTCCTGCTGCGGAAACTGCTCGACAGACCATGAGAACACACCAGCGACACATAAGTGCGGACACCGTGCGTCGACGATTGACGAGCAGACACCTCCACTGTCACAGGCCACACCGAGGACCCATTCTGACACCACGTCATCGCCGGGACCGTCTTCAGTGGGCAACACCGCACCGGCATTGGCACCACCAGCAGTGGAGAAGAGTTCTCTTCTCAGACGAGAGCCGTTACTGTATCTAAACAGCAGATGGCAGAAAGGGAGTCTGGCGACGCCGTGGGAAACGTTATTCGGATGTTTGTGTTGTTGAGAGAGACTCGTGGGGTGGTCCGAGCATCATGGTGTGGGGTGGAATTGGTCTTGCACAGAGGGACGGCCCTGTGGTCTTCCAGAACATCAGTCCAGGGAGAGGCAATGGTGTCACAGCAGCTAGGTACATTGATCAAGTCTTGAGACCACACGCCATACCTCATTTGGCACGTCGCCGCAACCACGAGTTTCATCATGATTACGCCCGTGCCCACACTGCGAGAGCAACAAGAAATTTCCTCCAGCAGAACGGCATGAGAACCATGCAGTGGCCCGCCCTCAGTCTCGATTTAAATCACATTGAGCACCTGTGGGACGAGATTCAAAGACGGCTGAATGACGTCCGACCAAGGCCGACAACTGTAGCTCAACTGCGTCAGGCGTTCCTCAGAGTGTGGGCTCAAGTGCCTATGGCCTTCTTCAACCGCCTCAACCATGTATCGACGTTGCACGGCAGTCATCAATGCACATGGCGGACACACGAGATACTGACTTGTGATGCCATTTTCTCAGAGACAAGTGTTGTGTTTCACTTTATGAACATTTAAGAACAAAGTATGTTTACAGTGTTTGGGCAAATAAGGTTTCTCATATATCTATCCATGTTGACGTTTCTTTTGCGGTTCAGTATATATTTGTACGTTTACTCTGACAGCTCGAGACGGTCATGACGTCATGATACGACGGATGTTGTTAAATCAATCCACGGCAAACCGCCTGGTTAAAATCAACAAAGTTCTTCTGATAAATATACTCTTCAAAAAAAGAAACTTGACACTGACTTTCAAAATGTAATATAATGCGATTGTTTTAAAATAGGACACAGAAACCATAATTGAAACACTGTTTGAAGATCAATGTACACAATGTTCAAAACATTAATCGTGTCACCTAGACAGACACACGTACACGATACAGTTAATGTCACAGGGGTACAGAAAATGTCAGTATCGGTTGTGCCCACCACGTGCATCAATCACCGCTTGACACCGACGACCCATAGATGCAATCAAGTTGTCAATAACACGCTGTTGGATGTGCTGCCATTCATGCTGAAGTGCATCAAGAAGCGCCGGAAGTGTTTGGGGCGGTGGATTCCTTCTGCGAACGCGTCGATCCAACTCGTCCCACAGCTGCTCAATCGGGGACAAATCTGGTGACCGGGCTGGCCAAGGTAATGTCTGGATGTTGTTGTGCTGTAAGATATTCTGACAAACACGTGCAATATGCGGTCGAGCCTTGTCCTGCTGGAACTGTCCGCCATGAACGTTGACGTGAGGAAGAACGTAAGGCTGAAGGATCAAGTCTCTGTAACGCACACCTGTCAATGCACCCGCCACATGCACGAGAGGCGTCCTACCACCGTGATGAATTCCGGCCCATACAATGACACTCCCGCCGCCATATGGGACAACCTGCTGCACACAGTTGGGGGCGTAACGTTCACCCAAACGTATGTAGACACGTGCGCGCCCATCAGCACGTGTGAGTAGGAAACGGGACTCGTCAGTAAACAGCACATTTCTCCACCTTGCACGTGCCCATCTAACCCTCTGTTGGCACCAAAGCAGACGGTCCGCCAGATGACATGGGGTCAATACATGACGTCGAACAGGTCTTCGTGCAAAAAGTCCAGCCTCCCTCAGTCTGTTGCGTACCGTCTGATCTGATATTCTGCGTACCCCAGGGATCTGTGTGGTTGTAGACGTGGCTGTGGTAGTGCGGTCTCGGAGGTGTCGCAGCCGGATGTATCGATCTTGTGCTTGGGTTGTCACCCTTGGTCTTCCTGACCTTGGTCTGTCGTCAACTCTGTGGGTGTTGTTGCATCGGGTCCTAAGTGCGGAGATTGTCTGTCTTGATACGCCAAAGTGCCTGGCCACTTCTTGCTGACTTGCTCCAGCTTGTAATCTCCCAATGGCGTTGTTCCGTTGAGCTGCATTCAGTCTTGGCATTCTGTCACCGCCTCTACTGCCGTTATAAGGACTGTATGAACAGCCGTTGATGTTGATTTTTATACCCATTCAGCAGGGGGGCCTGCATGCCTAAATGCAGGATCCTGGGCTGTACGTATTTAACAGGCGGTTGCGTTTGGATGAAGCTGTAAAATTGATCGCCAAACGCTACGTTGATGTGCTTAACATGTGTTTTCGCGAATTATAGACACATCATCTTTCTGTTTGACCTATTTGGTTCTCATTTAATGTAATCATTTTAGATATTTGGCAAACAGTGGTTTTACATCCATGTCAAGTTTCTTTTTTTGAAGAGTATAATAACGTTAATGTATAACGAATATGATATCCTTATTATAATTACTTGTTTCATTCCCATTCCTGTTTTGGGGGGCCAAAAAAGTAAATTATGCTTATGAAGAAGAGTCCAGAAGAGGTTTCGTGACAACGTCATCCAGCCAATGTGATACACATAGACATACGCTGTCCCATTCCTATTTATGATTTGGAAATAAATCAGATTAAAGACATCAAAACAAAATGCACATATATGGACATTGTATGCATTTTAACAAACTGCACTCATAAGAATGTCCTTGAAGGTCTGAATAAAATAACCATTACGGGTTTGCAATCGAAAGTGTCAATAATAATTCTAATTTAGCATATAGTATAATATGATTTTCAAATACACACTCTTCCAAATTCGCGGCACGGGGGTCCCAGTCCGCCAGGGTGCAGCAATTCGATATGCAGTGTTGCGTCTCTCAAGCTTGCTAGAAACCTTAGTTTGTGCGCGGCGAGATACACATACAAGCAGTTAAATACCGTTTCTGTTTGATCTATAATATGTTAACCTGGTGCCAGTTCATAACTCTAATTATTGCTGCAGACACATTTCCGACCATGCACGCCAAAATTTAAACAAGGATGGCGTGATCAATTCAACATATTGCATTAATCTATATTAAACTTTATTCATAATAACCCATTTCAAACTATTTAAATGAACAGGATATCAATTCAATGACATGTCCTGAAGGTACTCACGTCGTTGAAGTGGAGGTCGCCAAATTTGTCACAGGGCCACTCGGGAATGTAAGCACGATGGAGAAAACAGGTTGAAGAGGAGTTCCTGAACGTGAAGGAATGGCACAGTGTCTCCCCACTGCACAGGTTGGCACAGGATGTAGCGGTGTGACCGTAAACTGTCCTCAAGGGCCCACCATTGAAGCTATGGGGTTCCATACAAGACCCCACAACCTCAAAGCCCTTAAAGACCCCTGAAATGACATAGTCTGTGAACAATATTACCAGGACAATACTCGCAGCAAATCCCATCTTTAGTAACAGTTGCTTCAATTCTTCTTCCTTTGTTCTTCCGTTGCTTTTCAGAAGCAGTATGTCTGTCTGTGTCAGTAAAGCGAAAGTGTCTCAGCGGTTCTTTGCGTATATTCTGATTCAGAAGTGGTCGTCTTCTTACAGTGTCATCTCTTTATATGGGGACTTGTCACTGACTGTGCATACAGATCAATGCTCAATGAGTACATAAACAGTATATTGATTTATCAAACAGTTACACTCTTTGATACAACAACTGAAATAGGATTCGTCAATAATGATCGTATACATCCGTGTTTTATATTCAACGTTGGTTTACTTGCAGGTGTTCTCTGCAAAAGAAATTTACCTCGTGGATCCAAGTGAGTTTTATTACTTCCTTTGTGTTTGTCGTGGCTGTCCCTGGTGTGTAAACCTCGTTACTGTTCAATAAGACGAGCTTCATCAACGACTGCCTTAATAAGCTCTCATACGTTAATATAACATACGTCAGTCGCAGTGTTAAAATCGCTTTGTGAAACAGGGCCCCTCTCGAATAAACAGGAATTTCAGATGGGCTCCGATTGGTTTCTCATCAATTATCACACTCAAGTACTGTTCGACCATTGGTATGAGCGAATTAGAAAAACGTTATTTAACGCTGCATTCAACCACAGTCTAGCTATATCGCAATGACATGCACTAACCGAACGCTCTACTCCAACGTTAAGACATCACGTGTCAGCTCATATATTGCAAAAACCCGGTCCTCTTTTGTCGACCCTAACGTCAAACATGGGCTTCTGAAGATCTCTTCTGCCTACTCGGATTTTTTAAGGATGTATTTTTAACTCAATTACTGTACTGGACCACCAGGAATCAGGAACCATATTCAGTCCGAAACATAGTAGCACTTAGCTGAACATACAAAATTATTTTCACGCGTTTCACATTTGGAAGCGAAACCCGGTCTGCTGAAGCGGGACGAGCCTAATCTTTGAGCCATAAAGTCCGCCTTCGCTGAATATAGGTAAGATCGTTTTCCCGGTGAGTGGAAGCTCGGTAGTTCGATCCCCTGGCCGCGTCATAACCAAAGACGTCAAAAGATGGTACGTTGTTACCGTGCCGGGCTCTCGGCATTAAAGGGATAAAACAAGTTTGGGCAGGTCATTATGATGTGTCTGAGTGTGGTGTCCATGTTAGATAGCGGCACAGTCTCTTAATGCAGTTGGGTTAGCACTGCAAACGCACTGAGCAATGAGGCTGCCACTTGAGGCACAATGAGGCTGTTGAGTGTAAAGTATAGTATAGTAAAAAATTCAGGTGTCTTCCACAAGCCGTTGAACTGTAAGAAACGCAACTTTTAGAAACTCTTTTATAATGCTGCTGACTAGTCCAGTCCGGTCTTAATTTTATCAGTCTAACCCATGTGTAAGTAACTGTGTTATCTGAGAGGTCATTTTAATTTGTTATGGCCTGTGTCTTTCCACTGAAATGATACTGCATGTGTTTATGACAGAATATATGCTCTGTCAGTTCTTCGGTTGAGCTCCAAAAGAAAGTATTATTTGTTTTATATTAGACTGCTGCTGATTTAAGAACAAGTATAAGTTGAATATGCCGAGAGTGGGTGGTAAGTAGATATCGTATTTCTCCTTGACCAGAGAAAATGTTTAATTTCCCAACGTTAAGGACATGACGCTGGAATGAAGAGTCAGTGGGTTGATGGCTGTTACAAACACTAAAGGGTTGCATTTATAGGGAAATTGGCACTCCATTAATCTCATTTTAGTACATAACCTCAGAATGCTCGAATATAAACACTGGGGTTGGTTGTTAACAACAGTACAAAATTGCAGAACTCGACGTGGAGCTTAGACCAACACACTCAAACGTACTTGTATCGAGATGAATGAACCGAAGACATTTCAGAAAACAGTTGTCCAACGCACGTCAATACTATAATCAAAAGCAATAATCTTAGCCTATCTGGAAATCTACCCAACTCCTTCCGGAAGATCAAGAGTGTTGTACAAATCAATATCTCAATATTGCCATACTGCAAGTCATATGAATATTCAGCAAGCGTGTTATTCAAGAGAGAATGTTTCAATCACATGCATGTTCAATGTTCTGTATATTATTGGACGCATGAATGGATTTTAGTTCCTTCTGCCTTCCGTTTTGTTACAATGTTACCATTCACTGTGTCAAGCACTGTGTATATTTTCTAATATGAAAGTACAAGCAAACAACGACATATTCAGCCCTGTTCAATGTTATATTTCAGTAAAAGCAACAGCTCAATGATATTTATATATGGACGAACATGGCACTGAGAGTACGTATTTGTTGACATCAACAAACAATCATTGATTGTGAAATATTGAACGTTTCTACTGTAAGTTTTACAGATTACCTGACCATCTTGGAAGAGATTGATATTGAGTTTTAATGTGTCCCCAGCCATAGCACTGTACTGACAGTATAATGAACCATGGTGCGTCTCTTTCCATCTCATACACGTGTCAGTTGTGACAAGGGAGTGAGTGAGTTGGGTTTAACGCCGATTTGAACAATATCCCAGTTATATGCCCGCGTGTCAGCCAACTGTCGGGGGAAGCCAAGCCTGTGGGGATACATGTCTCAGACATTTGCCACTTTGGTGAAACCCGCGAGCATGGGGATGGTGCTGACAAACCTAGTAATTCGGGATTCGGATTTTGTTATAGCAATTGCTGAGTTTTGTAAAGTGTCCAATACAATCCCCGGACATCAAGTAAAGGTATGCAGATTGTATCAAGAGGAAGATGTCAGAACACATATTTTACATATGTATATGACAAAAATAACAGCAAGTAAGTAACTTTATTCAGAAGTAATACAGGCCAGAGGTCCAAGTCACACATCGAGAAATACAAAGTGAGAAAGTACTAGTTTCTTATAATGAAGGCTGTTTTATATATATAAATTGATAAATTTTAAGATGGTTACATTTGATGATAATAAAAGCATATCGAACTATCTCTTCTTGTCAAACACATTCGAGACCATACACTTGTAATATTTGCTTGATACTAGATTCCTTTTTAACAACCACTGCTTTCCATTTGTACAAGCATTTTATACTATTTCTTGGCAACGATCACTTAGTTTACACTGACTTTTTGAAGGTATATGAACGGACGGACGAACATCTACCACATTCGCCTTGCACTACATGCGATGATACGGATGACTTAATCGTCGTTTTCAAGATGCCAGAAGTACAACTTCTATTTCCTTTATATAACAATATAGAACAAACTGGGGTATAATAAATCTTAATAAAGAACACGTAAAAAAGTAACGGCTTAAGCATTGACAACGATATGCCAAATATGCCAAATAATACTCGTTAAGCCTGTGTTGGTCCATACTAATGTCCTAATGAGGAAAACAAATATTAATACAAGGAAACACAATCTAAAAGTATTTGAGTCCATAAGGTCGTACAGAATCTAAAGATATGCTTTCATATGAAACCTGTACAACACTTGTCGACTGGCATCATCCTAATATCATTTTATTTGGTCTTCTATATTAGAATTCAGCAAATAAAGACCTATAAGAATGTTTTATTAGCTGTTCATCCGTTACAATTGCAATTTACACTGGTCGGGATTCTATTTAGTTTATTATCAATGATAGGTATGCATCCCCAAAAGACATCAGCGGTTCCCATGCAGTCATTGATCCTAAGGCGCCATAGCATACTGACTGTGTAGACATGTAGAGTTATAATAACATCACCTTCAATAAGCCACCACATTGGTTAAGGGACCATTCGCATGTAATGGAACAACTGTGATGGAATATTTCAAGTAAAAGTACAGAATTTGAATGATTCGAAATTCAGAATAAAGTTTCAGCGACGTTTCCTGTTGATGTCGGTTAAACAAAGGCGTTTCGTAATATTTTACAAATATGTGGGAACAATATAAAGCTGAAATTTGTGCTAAGTAAGGCAAACTCGAACTGGTAACAGGAAGTAGTTACAGGTAGAGTTGATAAATATAAGGCTGTGTGGTTAGGAAAGCTTCTACAGTAATTTCAAATATACAGACGTTATTATAGCTAGTGGGAGCAACAACTGAATGCCTCAAGTCACTACGAGTTAAATATATTGTATGATCATATGTATAAAAGTGCAAGGTAACAGTGTTTTCATTTCCCTTAATCCTGCCCTGCAAAAAAAATATCCATGACTATAAGAGTCATCAATTGGCACGTTTTCCTGGTTGGATGATCTAGGTGAACTGGTCAATAACCATTCTTATTTGTTCCGCAATCTTTCCATTGGATTGTCCATCAGATTGTAACCTTTAATCAAAGCAAACAACATTCATCTTAAAATAATCTTTCTGGTAATTTTCTTTTTCTTTTATTTTGTACACACGTTTTTCGAATAAACATTACGTCAGCAACGATTATCATTTATGACACATAAGGATAAAAACTTGTCAAGAAATGGACATAGACAAACATAACTGGTTTACAGATAGATTAGTAGTGTCATCGATGGAAATCTCTGTATCGATATATCGACTCAGAATGATCACAATATATCAATATATCGGTTACAAATACGATTAACTATAGTGTATGACGATTGATGAAAAATAACCATCTAGAACTGTAATTTAATGTTAAATATCAACAAAGCTGATCCATTAATTCTTTGAAACTGAATTTTCTGCTTTCTCGTTGTCTTAACAATTGTAATCTTAATAAATGTAAATATTTCTGTGGCAGAGAATTATTAATTTAGAATCGAGTATTTAGTATCAAATTCATAAATTTATGTCGATATAGTATCGACAGTAAACATTTACCAATACATATATAACGCAATATACGATGACATCCCTCGTGGAGATGGTACGAACAACTTTGTGTTGACGTTATAACATATGTTGGCCGTTATAACATATGTTGGTCATTTTCAAGAAAGATGAAAGCTGTCCTATAAATATGGGCTTATCATGAAGAGAAGTGTGGGTATCGGGTGGGTGGGGATTCCCTTACCACGTTTCAGTGTCATGTATGATGGACTCCTTCGCATCATTTTGATCCAGTTGCTCTAGTCCTTCCAATAACGCATTAAGGCTTCCATGTCCATGTTGATGTTTCTCTCTTGCTCGCAGCAGCACCTTAAAATTCCATGTCATACACATGTATTGTATCATACATTTGAATGAGAGGAGCGATTCCTAAAATCGCTTGAAAATAGGACAGAAAATTTCAATAAGTCTGAAAGACGTGTTGTGGGCCTAGTTTTGATTCTTTGGTTTAATTATCATTAAATGCTATACTTACCACAAATACCCGGCATTCACGGCCAACCTTGTGTATATCGCATGTTGTGGTATCAATTTCTTGTTTTGTCAAACCCAAAAATGTTCCCAAATTCTCGGGCTCAACTTCGATGTACTTCAGGATATCAAGGAGAAACATATTTGACATTGGCTCCGGCGGACCTACAGAGATAAATTCAGAAACAGTTGGTTTCATCTGCATTATAGAATACTGACAAAACAAAAATGGAAGGGTGCATCTTATAATGTAAGGTATACCACTCAATATTTTAATAATATGTACAAGTATATTTATATTTATAGTCTGACCCTGACTAAGAGTTAGCCATTTAAGTATCATCCTCTCATCAACATGCCCGGTGATATCTACAGGTTCTCCCCGCCTGGCTACGAAAGGGCGCTCCACGTTGTGTGCCATTTGTAGCTTGACGTGTAAGAAAAGGTATATTTTCATCCACTTGTTTGCTTGTCAGAAGCATGAGTTATGTTTTGATGATTGTAGTTATTGATTAAGTGTTGTTGAGAGGAATATTTCGAAAAAAAGGTCATACCTGCATGAAAAGTTATGCAGAAAAAATACAATAAGAGTATTTCTCAATAAAAGCAACAAGCAAATAGTCTTTAAATTCATTACTATATGTATAGTGTAGCACGTGGTTGAATACCATGTGCTAATAAAGTGTTATGTACGTCTTGCTGACTAATATTTATGTAGAATACATTAAATAATATACAATTACTTCAGTAAATCACAGTGAAGCCCTTTTGATAAGTGTATATACGAGTATTTAATAAAATGATGGAAAAAGACAATACTATTGAAATATCCCTCCCCTTAACGCAAAGACGTCCCTCCAAGAAGGTTGATACAGAATGCATGAGTGCAATTTTAAGGTGACCACTAAGAAGACATATGGCATCTGTCCCAATAGGTTTGAGGAAGCCAAGGTGCTAAACAGTTATAAAAAACAGGTGATGGGTAGATCTAAAACTAGAAAGGGGAATTCCAGATGAAGCTGAGGAAGATGATTGAAAAGGGTATCAGAGTTTATAAGAAGTGGGTTGAACTGGAGACAAAAAACAACATCTAATTATCACAACATGAAATGAAAATGTAAATAAATAGATGTAAATGACGTTAGGATTGACATTAGATCGAAGTCTGGGTCTGAGTTGCACAGCACTACCACTCGGCTATGCAAAACACATTTAGCATTGGATATGTGAGCTCATGATACCAAAAAGGGTTCGTCCTAAAGATTGTCCAACTGACATTATGACAGATACTATTACTCCAAAGTACTCCATCTATGCTTTAAATGTTTTCTATCATCATTAAAATGACGTGAATTAGTAATGATACCTTTCATTACATAGAACTTTCAATTTGATAGCACTGTCACATATAATATTTTCAAAACACTAATTACAATAACATAAAATAAACAATTCCTGAAATGATTTATGATGCTTCCGATGCTTGTTTGTTAATTAAATCCGCATTAAACGTCCCACTCTCTCAGAGTACGATGTCACACAACCAAGTCACCAAGTAACCACCGAGCCATTTAGTTTCCTCTCAAAACAACAAAAAGATTCCTGAGAACATTTTCTAACACATAGTAAGATGAATGATATCTGCATACACAATTACAAACAGAATTACTGAATTGTGTAAGACTTTTCAATATGTTGTCTTGGAAACGAAAAAAAACACAAAACTTTCTTGATTACAACAAAGGGCACCAGTTCAGCACTTGCATGATGTGTACAAGTAACTTCATGAAGAAATATTGGACAGTTACTGAATACTACACTAAAAGACGAACACCGCAACCATTTGAACCTAAGTGCATCTTGGAACCCCAAACTAATATCCATCGAAAAAGACCTTAAACCATAACAACTACATATAAACTACAAGTTTATGGTGAATATGTGTGCACTAGGTTTTGTAAATGTAGCCCTAATAGTTTTTTAGTTCTGCTACTGCAACTTGCATCCATGGAAACAGAAAAATATATTATTGCGAAACCATAAAAGTAAAAGGCAAAACTCCCTTTTACCAAGTTTCGTAAGTGCAGCACTTGTTATTGTTTTCGAGATCTGTTCCGGAAACGACATCGGGACACACGGAAACATGGACGGAGGGAACCTTTTTCAGTATCTTCGTTGTAGCGGGGGATAATTACATATTGTAACATCAGGTAAGGCAATGAAATGTATTACTGTCGTATTTTGTTTAAATTTACAAGTTTCACTCTTTCTTTCACAAAAGACTTACTAATGTTTCCTATAAAACTGTCTAGGGTGAAGGTCTGGTTCTTCAACCAATTCCAAAATGGCTTATTCTGCCATTCATGTTTGCAATCAGATGACTTCCAGCTAGAAAAAAAGATTCAAAGGCTGATAATACAATGATTTGATTGATAATCCAAGTGGGTTCATTTTCGTCTCGTTAATATTAACTTATAGTCAAAGGAAAGAAGTATATATAGAAGTCACGTGTTTTTCTAGGGCTTAAAATTCCTTTTGTCGTAACCTAAATATTAACAACAGTGACTAAGCATAAAATACATTGTATTATAACAAGTTCACAGAGATGAAGATACTGTATAAAACATAAATACTCACCACATCTCCAGATAATCAATAACTGACTGTGCCGCAGACAGGTTGTCTACTCTCACCAGTGCTTGTGTAAGCTTTGTGATGCCCAAGTCTGCGGCTTTGGCACTTGCTGAGAACCACTTTCGCAACACCTGTAACGTGTTTGTATATTTATCGTGATGTCCTGAGTTCGACTGCAACACTCTAGTTTTGAAATGTATCGGATGAAATATAGTATTACTGGCGGCTTGCGATATGTCAACATACTATCCACTCTTTAAGAGGTCAATATAATATTTATGTTATAGTGACAAGTATATGTTTCACCAGCACTGAAAACCGTTAATGATTTTGTTTTTCATATTACCAATTCCGTTCAGGACATACATAGAGAATACTACACTCATTCTCGTTAGATACCATTTTTACGAAACGAGTGGACTTTCAATAGTATCTGACCGAGCGAAAGCGAGGTCAGATACCATAGAAAGTTCACGAGTTTCGTAAAAATGGTATCTAACGAGAATGAGTGTGGTATTTTATTTATTACCTACGTTAAAATATATTTAAGTGTAAATACATAACAACTTTCGTTCGTTGACAGACCAAACTGAAACCGGTTGCAAAATCTGGTTGCGCATGAATATTGATATATGACCAAATATGGGCATTGTTGACATGTTTATGCATACGCATTAACAACATGTGCCTGCTGTTCTGTTTGCAAACAAACCAGCACCGATGCTCAAGATCCTTTAGGAAGAAATTCTTCAACTTATGGTAATTCAAGCGCCATGTTGTTAGTACGCAGGACACCGATAAGAACATTTGAAATGTCACAATAGCGCCGCGCTTTGAATATCGGAACAACAGTCGGTCACTCGCGCTGCCGGGGTCCCGGCTGTGCAATCAAAATGGTCCGGTTTCCTTGATCTATCAGCTGAATTTATATCATGTTCGTACCATTTTGGAAGAGGGAAATCAGACTGTTCGCCAAAGACATTCATGTTAACTGTACCACCTTATATACTGAAGACGTGAAAATCAACAAACTCAAATCTGCTTGAATGTCAGTGACAGCTTCAAACGATCGAAGGGCAACGTCGCCACCGGAATAAGAAAAGACAACCGCGATCCACTCACAGCGTTTTACGCTAGAATGTTATTATTCACATTTGGGATGTTTGGGGCCACAAAATCAGAAGTCATGCACACTTCCACGGAGTTTTCGAATGATTTGTATCGGAACTGTTAACTTTAAGTGATCTGGTCGTGCTGTCGTGTACGTTCATTCATGAACAACACCTCCCGAAACAGCGCCACAAAACACGCTTTAAAGGGGACACCGATTGCACAACCGGATCATCCCAAGAAAGTCTCGATATCTGTCCAGATAGTTTAAACAGACTTCATTTCACCACGCTTATCCTTTTACGTGAACTCAAATTGAAAGTTGCGAAAGTGGTCGGGTGCGTCACGCACAAGGGGACCCTCGCTCTATTGATCGGTAGTCGTACATTGTAAATCGATTTATAGATCTAGCTCGATTATATATAATGTCTGAAGAAGCTCTATGCATAACTTACATAGAATGCAAACCGAATTTGATGCGTGGGACTATCTTGTTTGGTTTAATAAAGTGTTTGTAAACATCTCTCGTTCTCATGAATTTCTTCAGTTCTGCCTTGAATGACGTCTCGCGATTTTTTATGAATGAAAAAAGTAGTCCCGGCGTGACAGAGGTCACGGTTATCCAATCAAAACGAATAAAACAAGGTCAATCTTGTACGACACACGTGTGACGTACGGATTTAGTATCTTACCACCTGCATCTTCACCACGTGGGTAATAAATGTACTTGCACAAGCTAATTGCAGTGTTGCAAGTAATATGAGGGACCACCTATTTGATTTTTGAAATGGTGTAGGGGTGTGGATGTGTGGGGTGTGAGGTGTGAGGGTTTGAGGTGTGGGGAGAGGAGTAAGAAGGAATAATTCATTTCAGATGATAGCAGAAAAAAATGTCCTCCGGTTTTACCTTAACAATCACCTCAAACCAAACTTAAACCACCAGAATATTAAGCGGTGGATTCCAAAGTCAATTGTAAAGTATGGCATTACGATAATTGTGGCGCTGCAATCGCTTTGCTCAAGTGCCCCCCTGCACATTCACCATACCTGTTTGCTTCCCTCAAGAGAGTCATACAGGTCCTTGTGAAGCAGATCCATCAACATAGGTAAAGAGTGACCAAGGTATAGCCAAATCTTCCACCAGGAACAAAACACTTGAACTGGCAGACTGGCTGTAAGATCTGCTACTATGAATTCTGAAAATATAGTCATTTATTCTTTGAAAACGATTCATGTCTTTGCAGGACGAGTTTTTGTTTACTGTATTGATCTTTCTTTGATATTTTCAATGTGATCAACCTTGAGATCCCTTTAAAATACTTCCTCGTGCCATTATTTTAGATGTTACTGTTATTCGTATTCATTAAGAATTTAGACTTCATCTGAAAAACGCAAACTGTAATAAATTTCCTATGTGAAGGACATGTACGTACTGCCTCTGGACTCGTACAGTTCAGGATCATAAGCCTCATCCAATCCTCTGTCCACCTCATCAACAGCGGATTTGGATACAGAAGTGCTCTGGGACGAATAGGCATTTATATCTAGGATAAACGGTAGAAACGTGAGGACGTCGTGGTCGGCAGTCTGCAGATTTGTTATAGCAATTGTTGCACGACTGATGTCTTTATGATCGATCACCTCCAGTTCCAAGGACTGGTGACAATTCATCCCGGGGAAGTAAGTGATCTTCAGCCGTGAGATATTGGACAGGGATTTGGCGTTACCAGCGACGGCCATGCCGTACTCGTATTCCGGTCGAGCTTGGAACATCCCGCTAACTCGGAGGCAGGAGTAGTTGGCCTTTGCCCAAGCTGAAGTGCGTCTCTTTAGGTTTTCGGCTTTACAACATTCCACTATGACATCATGTAATTTTGGAGACAGTTGTTTTGCATATGCCAAAAATGTTACTATGTGAATCTTTCTCCTTCTGTGACATTTTGATATTTGCCTTTTTAGTGTGCGTCTTGATGTGTTTCTCGGACTCTCCATCATCGCCTTTCTGTGTAGCATTAATTTAGGACAACATATGAAACAGGAACATAATTATATATTCTCAATTCATTAAAGATACATCCACCCAACCGGGTTCAAGCAAGCCGTGTTGTTCTTCTTGTAATATGTCTCAACGTCAGATATATAATTGATGTATTTAGAGTCCGTGAATGATTGCCATTTAGTGCCGCTTTGAACAGTATTTCAGTTATATCGACTGCGAGTATGGTACTGACAAAACCAAGAAACATTGAGGAACCATCTGGGATTCGCAACTATGATCATTAGTCTTTGGTGTTACTCTGCACGACTTAGAACCCTATAAAGCGATAAGTATTAATGCTTGTACAGGTCAACTATTTTGCCAAGACAAATAGAGTCATATGTGATGTCAGAAATAGTGTCAGAACTACGTACTTGCCTTAGTTCCAGGACTAAGAAACGTAATGCTGTATTATTACATGTTTTGTTTCTGCTCAAATATTCAAGGATCTGAAAGAAAGCCATTGACATCAAAACAACTTTTGTCTCAGACAACAACATTGCAGCTGTATACGACCTGTATATAATCTTGGCCAGACAAACCAGTGGTTTATGAGCAACTTCCCACGAAACGGTACGTTGACACGCAATCAACCAAGTCATCAATCCAATTTATTTGTGACTCACGACAAGCATTAGAGTGTCAGGGGACTGTTATAACCCTGGCCCCCGGGGTAATACCATTTCAAATCACAACAACATGAGCTGTACAAATGAGCTTTACCGCTGATGGGTTTGTGGAAGCACGTTATATCACCGACCAAATTATGTAACCCTACACACAAAAAACATTCACAAGACCAATCAGAATACCAACATCCACTCAACGTTTATCATTCTCAAGAAAACATGGACTATGAACAATTCTTACGTTGAAAAATGTTTGATGGTAAAGCTTGCAACATTGCCCTTGATCTCGATGTCAGTGTCAAGGAAGGTCCAGTATTCTGTATCCTCTTCAACGCTTGCGACATTCTCGGGTCCAGACCTGGACAAGACAACGAGTTCCCCCTTCCCTGTGTATTTATCCGGGAGAGGCAATGTCAGGAGGATACCTTGCTTCGGCTGGGTGCCAGACGTGTGCTCAATTTCATAAAACTTCGAAAATGACAGAATTGCATCTAGGTCTTTTGTAACTGGCAGACACTCCTCGACCTTTAAGAAACAACAAAAAGACATGCATGCCAACAAGAGATATATGATTCGCATTCATAAACAGACATGATAATTATATGTTTCAGTATTAGTAGTACCAAGGTCTCTTTCCACAAAATACTGTTAGCGAAATGACTACTGAATGTATAGCAAGAACATTAAACAGTATGCCTGGCAATGGTGATGTATGTGTATAAAACATATAGGAAATTATAATCAAACATTGACAAGTTTTTACCTTGAACGATATACTCCCAGGTCTTTCAAATGTATTCTTTGGAATGTCCATTTCCACGTCCGTATCAAGAGTAGATGTAATCTTCCCACCATTGGCGGGAACTTCAAGGAGTTCTTCGCCTGGCCTATGGCAAATGACAAACCAGCCACGGGCTCCAATATTTATTTTGGCTTCTGCTATCCAACGTTCCTGAAAACGATGAATGTTATGAATGTGAAACTATGAATGTTAAAGGTTCTGAAAAATGAAACAAATACGTCAATTCTAATATTCATGTAGCCACTCGTTGTCGCAGTATCACTAATTTCACGATTGTATTTACCTAATGTGAAACCGGTCTACTCAGGAGTCGGAATTCGTTGTGCAGAGTTGTGCTTCTTAGTCGCGACAGGATCCGCTAGTTTCCCCTCAAGTGGTACGCATAAAAAACCTGCTTCACCTTGGGCGTTCCTCGTATAGTAATCTCACACGCCGGAATAAAACTTGGTGCTTGAAGAGGCGGTAAACCTAATTCGATCACATGCCCATGAGAGATTACTGACATGAGATACTATAATATTAGGATACATTGGCTGTTGGGCTCAAGCTGGATTCAAGCTTAGTGTTCTAATAACGTAATTTCGTCAGTCCAGGTCAATTCTAATTAATCCTGATCAATCCTGTCAATCTAGTTAGTCCTGTCAGTTCATTACTTATAACTGCATGGGTTGCTTTCCGGGGAAATACGGATTGAGATGCACCTCACAGGATGCAGCAGGTGCAGGACATTGCTGACTGTAAACTTTTAAACATGACATCACACGTACCTCCACTGTCATGAAGACTGTTTGGGCAACTGATTCCTTTTCCTCTTTATCCATGGTTGCATACTTCACAAACACTTCAGAATAGGAGCTTGGTTTGTCTTGCAAAGGGAAAGTGATTGTCAAGAGAATATTGGGTTGCGATATACGGCATTCAACCAGCTCTCCCCAGAAGGATTCGTCTTTCTTCTTAGCAGGACATTTTGGGTGTGTGGTTGGTTCGTATCGCTTGAGCAGCATGAATGTCTTTGAAGAACCAAAGTCAGTTTCTGACCCAAATTTGATAGTCATGTTCTTGATACACTTCTCCTCGCAATGGTCAGCTAGGATTCGTTCTGTATGTCTGAATGTTATTGTAATCATTACTTATAAATCCGCAAAATGTACCCAAAAACACAAGTTATTGTGATCATGGTCTTTGTCATCATATTGGGATTTTTAAAGTTTATAACTAAAAGTGCTCTCTTTTTCTTTGAAGGTTTTAAATGTTCTAAACAAGTTTGTTTTAAATTTCATTTCTTCAATTCTGCCTGGCGATTATCTGTACACGGGTTAAAATTCAATTACTTGGCTATGGATATTTCCATCGTCCATTAGCGATGGAACGAAGCTTGAAAGGTGAGAAAATTGCTTTTGTACACAAATAGCACTTAAATGTAATACAGCTACATTTCAACATATCTTGACAAGTGATTTGTTGCGTAACAGTTGTTAAGAAATGGTCAATCAAAGTCATACATCCCTTTTCATGATAGTTACGATGTATCATTTGATGTGTGATTACAGTAACATTTGTTACTGTATTGAAAGAGGAATTACTACCACTTTTGCTGTATAACTACTAAGGCTGTCTTCATACTACCTTTCTAAATCCACAGGTTGTTCAATTGCGCCCCTAAGCAATTTCTCGTCGCCGACAAGAGACTTGGCAGAGTTCCCCATCTACTCAAGAAAAAGAGTAAATGAGTGAGTGAATGTTGTTTTAAGACAGACTTTTTTTAGTATATCACGCATTACAGTAAAAAACGTGTTTGGGCCATGATACTCCGTTGTTTGATGAAATGGGTTGAGAATACCATGACAAAACATCAAGTTACAGATTGTACCCGCAGCCCAGTTTAGTCGGGTAGGGCAATGAGACGTTCTGCCTTGGAAATATCCAAGTGGGCTCAAAAACATACATTGCCTCTGGTGGTGCTGAATGGCATGAAACAGTCAGTTAGTTATTATATACTCAGCATAGTTCATGTTCAAACAGAAACCATTACCTCTGTTGCTCTAGAGTTCGTACAGAATAGTTTGATCACTTTATATCAAATCATTTTTACGAACTTTGTCTTCCTTATTGACGTCAGCCCCCAGAAAAACCAGCCATTCTACCATCTGTGTCCATTTTCTCTCCACGGCATAATGGAGTGGCGTTTGACCATTCTAAAAAAATAAATATGTATCAGGATAGAAATGGAATGACTACATGATATTTATTAAAATGATTGTTCAATTTATTATCATCCCGAAATATGCTTGTTATTGTATTACATGTTATTTGGTCATTTGAAAACAAAGTATTTAAATTGAAATGAGAATTGACTTTCGGAAATAAATTGAATGTTTCAAACGCTCTATCATTTATTAACACAAATGTTTGTATACATTGTAAAAGTAAGTTTTTTTTATCCAAGAGAGATACTGACAACAGATAAAATGTCAGATACCTTATCTTCCAGGTTAATATTAACGGTTCTCGTCAGCAAGATCTGTAGAATGCCTCGTACACCAGACATCATGGCATGGTGAAAAGCACTTCTCCCATCCTGTGAATATGTATGGCAATGATATAGGCAATGTGGATTTACAGGTTGGTTGACAGTCCAACTGATCACACGATACAGTTCCTGTCAATACGGACATGGGGCGGTTGATGCGGTCGTAACGAAAGGCACACCGCAATTTGTTTGTCCCTTTAAAAACTTATACCGGGTTATGACAATAGCTAGTATGTATGAATGCATGCGTGCGTGCGTGTGGGTGCATCTAATAGATCGTAGAAGGCATACAATTGTCTCGCTCTTCTACAGGTACAGTAAGCATTCTAGAAACTGTTATCTCGCGGAGCAAATCGTATGAATGAGTCGGTCCCGGGAGTGAATGGACAACTGTAAAGAAGCTCCACGAAACGGAACTCTTTGTACCGGGAGGGTAAATAAAGTAAAGAACCAGAGCGTCTCTATTTTACGAGCGCCTCAACTAGTCCGGATAATGTCTATTTTATAGTGCTAGCACACAGAGATATTATGCCGCAGTGTGACATGAATACCACTCTCAGACACAGTAAACTGACTCTGAGCCGAGCAATCCTTTGTTTAGCCCCTCAATGCCGAGCGCCAAGCAAGGTTACAAAAAGTACCATCTTTTAACGTCTTTTGATGTGACGCGGCCGGGGATCGAACCAACGACCTTCCGCTCTGCGGGCGGATACTGTATCCACTAGACCACGGAGGCGGTCTTCATCAGAAATAACTTACAATATATAGGATATGTTGCCACATAACACCATGGACACATCTATTCACGTTACAATAGCGTTTAACCATTAAAGAGAGATTATATACAAAAATGGTTGCTTCGACAGTTCATACACAATGTAGTTGTACGGGAGGATGCTCTTCACAGGATGCTTAGTGTCTTGCGATTTGTCTTACGTACGTAATATGTACACTTTCAAGGACATATCTCAAACTTTTGAATATGATCTGGTCCAGGATCAGACAGATTTACAGGTCGCCACCACATACATGGAATAATGTTGAGTGCGGCGATACACAACAAACACACACGCGCGCACACACGCACGCACACACCATATTTCAACGTATCTTGAAACATGCTAGGGGGCACGGGTGACCCAGTCGTCTAAGGCGACGCGATTCGCTGTGCAGAGTTGCGTCCCTTGGGCACGCCAGAAACCTATGAATCCCGGTTCGCCCCGATTATGTTTCTAGGTTTGTCAGCACCATACCCGTGCTCGTGGGTTTCACCGAAGTGGTAAACGTCTGAGGCCTGCATCACTTCGGACTTTCCTCACACATTAAGCTGACACGCCGCGATATAACTGGAATATTGTTAAAAGCGGCGTTCAACCCAACTCACTCACACATTTATACATTAATACATTCACCAAAGATCGCATTGTCTAATGAAAGAAATGATACGTCTATCTTGGTACATAAACTGTGTGATCACTTAAATGGGTATGCATGTCCTGCCCTTCCGGTAGCACCCGCCACTCGCACACTTTGCATAAAAAAGTAAGTGATTATTTGTTGCGTGACGCCGCACAGCTGTACTCTTGCCATGCGACGGCGGCCTGTATAAAAAGTAGACAATGACATAATGGACCAGATAATCCAGCGACACGCTAGCACATTCACTATTTTGAAACTAAAGACGATATGTTTATTTTGAATTACTGCAGAGATTCTGCTGCTGATAAGTAAAGATAAATATTTTTAAGAAATATGTTTGTTTTACAATTCAGTGGTGGTGGTCGGGGGGGGGGGGGGGGGGGTAGTTTTGGTGTATAGGCCCAAACATGTCTTTGGTATTTAATTGAAGGTCGGGCACAGATGCATAGAAGGTTGTACAAATCAACACATGATTGGTCGCTTCTTACCAGGAAGATTATAAATATTATCGCAGTGTAAAAGCTCTACCCCCTGGACTAGCTGCTTGACATACATACCTAGAGCTTTACAAAGCCCCTTTATCGCATTTCTTGGAACACTCCCACCCTTTCTATGTCCTAAGGATCTCAACTACAATGAAACGCCGTGTAAGTCTGATCTTCCTGGTTAAACTCGCGTAACACAGTCACTTTTAAACGTCCTGTCTTATCCGTACATACCTTTTAGACTGATCGGCGAAAGCACGCACATCAAATTTCACATTGATACAAAATTAAGTTAACATTTGATTACATGTTATGTATGGAATTGAAGTTTTACAGATATTTTGGATCAAATTTAACCTGCAATATAACGGGGTTATACACCACGAGGGATGGGGGCTGTACATAATGGGGTCTAACCAAAGCATGACAACCGCTGCATGGAGTAGTGAGTGAGTGAGTGAGTTGGGTTTACCGCCGCTTTTAGTGAGTGAGTGAGTGAGTATGGTTTTACGCCGCTTTTAGCAATATTCCAGCAATATCACGGCGGGGGACACCAGAAATGGGCTTCAAACATTGTACCCATGTCGGGTCCGCCGCTTTTAACAGTATCCCAGTTATATCACGGCGTGTCAGCATAATGTGGGAGGAAAGCCCGAAGTGATGCAGGGTTCAGACGTTTTCTACTTCCGTGAAACTTCACGAGCATGGGTATGGTGCTGACAAATCTAGAAACATAATCGGGATTTCGAACCCACAATCATAGGTTTCTGGCGTGCCCAAGGGACGCAACTCTCAACAGCGGCGCCTTAGACGACTGGGCCACCCGTGACCCCGCATGGAGTACTTATTGAACGTGGTGTAATTGAAGGAATACTGCTGGGTGTGGCATAAATTCCCATTTGCACCCTCACCTCGTCAGCTAGGTCAGGTTTGGCTCCGTGTTCCAATAAGCAGGTGACAATGTCTGTTTGTTGACCTTCAATGGCAAGGAGCAATGGTGTCTTGTCGGTCTGAAAAATAACATGCTTACTTGTATCTTGATTATCTGAGGTAATAAACACACACTGAGACCCCATTAATCCGGACTCTACAATTTCCAAACTCATATTATGAATATTGGTGAAACCCAGTTAATTCGGACTGTAACATTCTGTGTGAAATCGTCCGGATTAATGAATTTGGATACGAATTATTTTCTTCTTACTATACAGTTTTTAATTATAATTCTACAAAATAACAGATAAACTAGGTTTATCGGTATACTGAAATATAAATGAAAACTTATCACAGAAAATACATACTGTATAAGTAGTATTTGACAACTCGGGGTAAATAATCCCAATGTAATTAGTATCTATATTTTGAATTTATCTCATTTAACTCTTTGGGATACTTCACTAAGGGACTGGTCATATAGTGTAGGGGTGCGATAGTATTAGTCACACACTCGCACGCACGCACGCACGCACTTTATTATAAGAACTATTTGTACATTTGTTCACCCATCCACACCCCAAAAATGTATATATCAAATAGAATACATATTTATTATGACCCCGGTCCCCTCCCTATAATAAATGACCAGTCCCTAAATAATGTTCAAATTAAAAAAAAACATGTTATATCTAAAAAATAGAACTGTTGCAATGTATATATATACAGTGTAGTTAATCGGCCCACCCATCCTGTTATAAATGATTTCATAAATTAGTTTTATAATTTGATTTTATTCAAAACTCATGAAATATGTATCCAAAACAAACAAACTATTTTCTCTGGTAAAACAAAAATACTTTGGTTTTCTTTGCTACATACATATACCACTGATATTTACCCAATCGCTTCCATTTACATCTGTTCCACTCTTGAGCAGTTTTTCCACTGTCTTCAAAGAATTGGCGCCAATAGCCTCAAATAAAGCTTTTCTTGTCATGACTGAAAGACATCCGACATTAAAAATGATTTGTGATGATTTAAGTTTAATATATACAGTGTAACTTAACAGTTAGTTATTCATGCACTCCGTGGGTATTCTGGGTGCTCCAGCTACCAAGTCATTAAGGGATCGGGTGGTTAAGCTTGGGTACTTGATTAATGGCGTATCATCTTACCCCGAACGTCGTGGGTCCGTTGCTCAAAATCAATCATTGGATTGTCTGTCTCACACACACGTACACGCACACACGCACTAATACACGTACGCACGCACGCTCACATATACGCACGCATGCACGCACGCACGCACACACACACTGTGACACATCAAATTGTGTATTCATGGCAAACTGTAAGGCAATATAGGCCTATAGTTCAACATAATCTACAAGTAATGCCTGTTTCTTCATTGCATGATGTGTGTACGATGCAATATTTTGCACTAATGAAACATTCGAGGTTGACATGAGTGTGTAAAACAAACTGATATTTGGATAACATAGAAACTTGTCTGGAATATATTTGTTGTTTATTGATGCAAAATACAAACAAGCATGAATAGATAACTAAAGTCATTTTCTACACACAAAGACAAAGGGGTATTCTTTATAAACAGCTGCAATTATGTCGTGTGTGAGACAACAGTCTTCTTTTGAAATGACTAAAGATAGACACACAAATTAAGCATAATACATACCCAAATATGAAATCCTCAGTTATGGGTGGTAGTGATATCGTCTCTTTCTTGAATATGTAAAGCGTCGTGATCGTTGGGAGATACGCTGTGTACAGTGATATGTTCTGAATTCAACAGTTGTCAAGTGCTTACAAAAGGGGTATGCGCTACAGCTATTGACACTGCAATCCGCTGAACTGATTTATTGCCAAGTGAATCTCTGCAAGGGTGTTCGTGTTTCTCAATAGCAGTGTGAGGGGGATATAGAATCGTATATGATATTCATAAATATTCATAAGGACCCGTCCATTTTATGTAGAGGACATTAGTGTCAGTTAACCTAATAGGTCACAATTCTCTGCGCAGAGCTGCAACCCTTTGCCGTGTCAGGATCTCCTGATCGTGGATTTGAATCCCAGATTCCATTGTACAAACATAAACATGTACTCAAGGCAGACGAAAATCATTTAGCATTATCATATTCTGTTTGTATTAAGTAGAAAACGCCTCTCTTTTTTATTGAAAATGTGAAAAACCGATCTTTAATTGGACTGAAAATGGATTTTTTCTTCTTCTTTCATACTAGGATAATTCAAACTCTGCATAACATTTCTTTATTACAAGTTATCTGAACTATCTGGTTTGAAGGAAAAGAAGTTTTCTCTATATTTTTATCCAAATACGCAACAACACGCCACAGAGCTACCCTGGGGTGTCCTGACAAGTCGTGTGTTGTGTACACAGATTCATCAATCCGTAAATCTATATAGTCATAACTAATAAATATTAATATTTTCAGTCTTGCTTCAAATTTTGAAAGTTCAGAATGAAAGTGCACGCGTACTGTTCTTCTCTGTCTATTCACCACACCTTTCTAGTACACTTGGGCACGGAACAACTGATAAAGACAACAACAATGAAGAGCATGTCTGAGTCATGCTGCGTGAATTCATAGTCTAAAGTTATGAGATAAACCTGCTGTGGTTTTAATGTGATATAAACACATTTATTTCCATAAAGTGGAGGGATTGGCAAACAAGCTAATTTTGCTTATCTGAATGCCTCTCCCAAACATGATACATATACAAATAGCAATGTATTGATAGTGGCATGAAAAAATAGCAATAGCATACATTGTGTAATTGGCATTAAAGGTAAGTATTGTTCTGTAAGTGTTTAATTACTGGATTATCTTCCATAACTACAGTTACATTATTATTTACATTCAGCACAACAACATCGCAGTATCATATAGGAAAGCCATCATCTCAGACAAAATCTCTAAATCGGCAAGAAGATAGAATAAAACTGTGCACCGATTTCAAAATTTCAAGATTTGTTACTGTCGTTACAATTGAATTACCATTTAGAATTGAATTTAAATGGCAGCCTTTTACGAAATAATACATGTTTTGCCTTACTGTACTGTTTAAGGGACACGTAATAAAGAAATGAAGTGCATCTTCCGTATGATAGCCACAACAACATCTCGGGCTGTCGGATATAAATCTAGCAAATTTTTCGGCGTTTAGATCACTGCAGCCAAGCCTGTGCGGCTTGCTACCAATAGATTTGACTGCGCTAAATTGAACTTTTGAACAGGATAGGCAACTTGAAGATTATGAGCAATACATATTTACTTGGGAGATTCATAACCATTTGAGCTCAGATACAGTTCACCTGGGGACATTTTTATGTTTCTTTGAAATGACACAGAAGCCCAAATGCAAGATGCCATGCAATTGTGCGATCGCAAAATAATCAGATGCATGTTATGTTGTTCCAGAAATCTTGATTTATCCGTTAGAATTAAATATTGTCAATGTCCCCGTAGCAGAATACTCCAGACTACGTGTCATCGTTTCACAAAGATTATGGTATGTAGATGGCACCTGTCTGTTTTTCACAGGTAAGGCAATTGCACATGCTGCACTCTATCTGGTTAGTTTCTTATCTGGCCTCCATTTCCGCACAAGCTGACAAAAAACGTCACTAATCTTGCATGCAAACGTGATACAACTATTTCTAGGGTGAGAATTGAATGATTTAAGGTAATGTTGATTTTTTACAATTTTTTGCAACATATGAATGTATTAAAAACTTATTGCATGAGTATATTAGCTACACCTCAAATAAACCACACGTCAAAATGAAAGGACTACAAGCAGGTGTATGCTTGAGGCTAATACCAGTTCCCACTGTGACGCTGTTGCTGGCAACAAAATTGTATGCCATATAATGTATCTGATATTATATTTACTGTGTGGTCCATAAACCAAATAGCTGACTAGCTTTCAAGATTTATTTCACGACCCATGTCATAATAAATAGCGTTTACCTGAAGGAATATTTCTGATTGAGAAATGCCAAGCAATTTTTCCAAAAGTGAGGATACGCACATGTTCCTTGAAATGACATTATGTATTGCCTTTGACGACTTAACTACATGTATTTTAATACTTACATTGTCTCGTGGATTTGTGCCTTTGCTACTTTTCAACCCCCTCCGGTCAAACGGGTACAACTGAAACAATATTTACCGGATAAAGCACCTTGATAAACTTTTGGCGATGTGATCTGATGTGTACACCGTGTGCTTGTTTATGTGTTGATATATTTTTCTCCACCTATTCAATGTGTGTCACGTGTTGTTTATGATGGAAAGTGTTAAAAGCTACGTATAATCGTACTCACTCATTCGCAATAATGATAAATATATTGCTTCGGGTTTTGTTCATTTATTTTTACAAAAAAATGGCTACAAAATCGTACCACCGAAAGACATGTTAGATTAATGACATATATTCAGCAAACCAAGATCTTTATACCAAAACGTCTCCTTAAAAAAGGGTCATATTTTATTTTCATAGAAACATTAAAATATAATTTCTCTCTCTCGTAATTGAGGAATAATAACGGAATGCGCATATATTGGGTATAAACTCGGACACATAGAAGCCGCTCCTAACCTACATTCCAGGCATATTTCTGAGATATTAAAATGTTATCAGTAAACACAGACATACTTCCATGTACGCCATTTAGCCACTTGTGTGGTTCCAAGTGACAGGCTATTACGCAAGACGACTGGAACCATGCGTTTATGTTTCGCCATTCTATTTTCTATGGCATCGGGCCTGATAATGCCGCTGACCAAACCAAATGGACAGGTTGATCTAAAGAGTTTAGTAAGTCACGTGTCGACTTTAGAAACAGCCATGACTTCGCTACAATCCCGTTTTCAGGTAAATGTATAATTTTCTTTTTGTTTGTTCCTTTATTCATGTTTGTTGGCAACATTCGTGAGGATTCGGGATCAGGATAGTCATTATCCTAAGTTAGAGCGACCTCGGGAGGTTCTAGGTATAGAAGCACGGTGTCTTGGCTGATTAAGTGACACCGTGCCCCAATAGTGTGAATCGTCACTAATGCTTGCTGTCACTGGTTCAAACCAGATTGTTTACCGACAGTGGCTTTAAACAACATTCATCTTGGAAACATATGATGTCATCCTTTGTATCATTGTATTCGTGAATACATAGCTGTCAGAAAATTGGGGGCACGGGTGGCCCAATCGTCTAAGGCGCCGCGATTCGCTGTGCAGAGTTGCGTCCGGTGGACACGCCAGAAACCTATGATTGTTTATGTTTCTAGCTTTGTCAGCACTATACCCGTGCTCGTGGGTTTCACCGAAGTGGTAAACGTCTGAGACCTGCATCACTTCGGGCTTTCCTCCCACATTAAGCTGACGCGCCGTGATATAACTGGAATACTGTTAAAAGCGGCGTTAAACACAACTCACTCACTGTCAGAAAATTACTGAATATATTAGATTTATCTCAAGTAAACCACAAGTCAAGATGAACAGGCAGGTAGGTACATAGGTAAGGATGATACCTGCTCCCACTATGACGATGTTACTGTGGTTTGGATGTTATTTTTGGCTAGATGTGGTGAACTCAGGTTTCATCCATAGTGTCAAATCGTTGCAAGAACATTTCTTGATCAGCTTCAAACAGCTAGATTTTCACGAGACATGGAGTTTGTTTATGAAATGTCAGAAGCTTTGGAAACCAACAAGCTGATACTTTCTTCATTGCCAAAGTTTCTGTGATAATGGAATGTACTCTCTCCTGGGAAATACCCACTGAACTAGTAGTATGATGTTCAGTCATTCGCCGGTCAGTCATCATCATATCGTGGATTATTTCTGGTGTTTTTTTCAGGTGAACAATTGACTTGCCTTTGCATGTGTTTGTGACATAGTCGGAATGGTACAATCGACTTTGCTTTATACAGAGCTTTCTATTGGATATAGAAAGGGTTTTGTCGCTGCACGTTCCTCGCGTTGGGCCATTTTCCAAAGATCACAAATTCCTGCTTATTTTACTGAATTGTTTTTGTGGATATTGTGGATTTTCCTACATACTGTAAATCTTGACATTAACGCGAGCATGAATTAAATGCGATAAATGCGAGTGATCTTTGCCCGCAGTATTAAACATCGCATTTATATCAACAATAAGACATTTTGGACAGCAGAAATACAAACTTAGACATACGCTGAAAACAAACAACTTTGTATTCCACATCACTGTTTATTGAGCAGCACTTGTAACAAGTACATAAACAATGTCATTCAAACACTAATTGCATCCTGTGTATTGTCACTGCTCGGGTCAAGACAACAGTTCTACTCACTTATGTCACCACTGATCACACCTGCAAGTCCAGACAGACGTCATCCACACAACACAGTGTCTTTGTTCTTTGCGACTGCGTCAAAGGTCGATACGAGCCAGCGCGCATGTACTGTTTTAGCGGAAGTACTCTACTCAGCGCGAATAAGCGGTGCTATTTGGTGTGTGATTGGATTAATGTAAGGTTGGATTCTGTGAGGATTCTCCTGTAAACATGACAGATAACGTTTTCTTTAGATGACATATCCACTGATGCTTGAGAGGAGGGGGTTGTCGCATTCATATTGAGGCGCATTTTTGGCTAGGGACCAGCGGTCGCATTCTTTTGGTGACGCATTAATTTCACGATTTACAGTATTACGTCGCAATAGTTGGACCAACTCTAATAGTGTAATCATAGCGTGGTGTTTTTAGATATCACGATACTGCTGTGATAGTAAAATGGTAACGATAAGTAGCTACACACTCTGTTGTGTGGTATGAGTGTCATGAAATGTTGAATTTTCACACGATGATTGAACTGATTTCCCAGCATGCGGTTAGAAAATACATGAACTTGTAGAGACTACCAGTACAAAATACACGAAGTGAGTGAGTGAAAGAGCAAATGGTGTTTTATGCCGCAGTAGGTTCCGTCAATATTTCACGCAGCTATATGATACCGACCTGTAAATAATCGACCAAGCAAATCAATGGCGGATAGCATGGCCAAAGGACAAGTTACACATGTTGACAACCCGATCCTCATTATTCAGAGGGGCGGTCGGGTAGCCTAGTGGTTAAAGCGTTCGCTCGTCACGCCGAAGACCCGGGTTCGAATCCCGACATGGGTACAATGTGTGAAGCACATTTCTGGTGTCCCCCGCCGTGATATTGCTGGAATATTGCTAAAAGCGGCGTAAAACCAAACTCACTCACTCACTCATTATACAGATCTTACGACAAGCTTAGCCGGTCTTACCCCGGAATATCCACGGGTCCCAAACATAATTCAACCCAAACTTTCCATGAATGACCATGAACATATCCCCACTACTAATAGGACATGGAATACGTTATTCGAATACAAGAAAATCCCGTATTCGAGAAAAAACGAAGTAATCGGTCTGGCGAAAGAGATATCGCGTTCATGATCAGTAATTGTCGGAACAACGATATAGCTGATAAAGCTCCTCGTTTTCCTAACCAGACAGGTTCATTCATCACGGAAGAATATGATGCCTTCAAGTCAATTATGACCTCATTGGAGAGTGTCAAATCTGTAAAAGAGTTCACACAGTCGTACGGAAATTACTATTATATCTTACAATTTACGTGATGTAATTATTGTGTATGCGCCTTTTCATTGATTTCGTTTACGTTTTCGTTTTGTCACAAATCGTGTTTTTTTTGTTAAAAAAAACCTTTCTTCCGGTGCAGGGGCGGTCGGGTAGCCTAGTGGTCAAAGCGTTAGCTCGTCACGCCGAAGACCCGGGTTCGATTCCCGACATGGGTACAATGTGTGAAGCCCATTTCTGGTGTCCCCCGCCGTGATATTGATGGAATATTGCTAAAAGCGGCGTAAAACCATACTCACTCACTCACTCCTTCCGACTCGGGCATTGTAGTTTGTTGTGTATTAAACTTGTGTCAGGAGAGACTGGATTTGTCCACATAGCGATGTGACTAAGCATCTGTGCTTCCCGCCAGGTAAACACGGTGCAGTTGGAGAATGTCAAGTCCCAGTTGAAGGCCACCGAGGACAAACTACGGACAACATCGGACGAGCTCCTCATTGTGCAGGCAAAGCAGGAGGTACTGCAGAAAACAACTAAAAATATGTCCCACATAGTCCGTGAGTACCTTTCCAGCTAATGAACTGATAGGAGGTGAGGTGAAATGGGGTTTAACGTCGCGTCCAAGATTATCGCACTTATATAGCGACGTGCATGTACGTGTGTGTGTGGCTGCTTGTACTAGTCCGGACTGATGCCGATTTATAATGCTAGCTCACTGAGATACCATGCCGCAGTTTAACATGAATACCCCACTCAGACACAGTATACTGACTCCGAGCCGACCAGTCCTTGTTTTAGCCCCTTAATGCCGAGCGCCAGACAGGGTAACAACAAGTACCATCTTTTAACGTCTTTTGGTATGACGCGGCCGGGGATCGAATCCCGGACCTTCCGCTCTCCGGGCGGACGCTCTACCACTAGACCACGGAGGCGGTCTTGAACTGATAGGAAGAAACCCTTGCATCTGAATGATGGTGAAACCATGCCCATGTAGTTGTCGTTGATCTCACACTATTGCAACACTACGAAAATCTTGAATATTTGATACCTGGTTTATATTCGTTGTTTTAGGAACAATCACACATCTAGTGAGGAAAATCTTTGATTATTCAGGGTATTTTACCTCTATTTTTTTCAAAATAAATTTGTTTGTGATGATTGCCACCGGTGGGATAATCGAGTCTGGATCGGACAATCAGTGATTGATATCATGAGCCATTGGGATCGATGACATGCTTCAACCAAGTCAGCGAGTCTGACCACCCGATCCCGTTAGTGGCCTCTTACGACAAGCATAGTCGCCTTTTACGGCAAGCATTGGTTGCTGAAGACCTATTCTACCCCTAATCGAAGATGAAGGTTATTGTAACGGACTTGTTATGAACTGAGAAAGGAAATTATTATTTGACTACCGCATCGGACATATTTCGTATGTTGTATTTCATGAACGAAACCGCCTCTAACTAATATGTTTAAAGTTGAATGTGATGATAGCTGCAGCAAAAATACAGGCACACCAACGGCAACCACGTAAAATCAGGGGAGGCAACACTCCGCATGTTAACGACCATTGAAAAGATAACACAATTACTTTCTTTTAACCACCATATGTTAACGCACTCACAACAAAGTTTACACTAAATTACAGCATAGGGATACGATAGAAGTTGAGACCCACATTGTATAAAAGAATATAAGTTTCCAAATAAAACAATGTTGGAAAACAATTACTTATGTTCCAAGGATCAACTCGATAAGCATACCAGTTACAAGATGTTAATGATTCCTTGAAAGTATTGCTGCGTTTATGCTGGAAATGTCACACAAACCAAATTTGGACAATACATGTAATCTGATTAGTTGGTTAACATGAACAGACGCCTACAGGTTTTGGGACTATTTTCGCTTTGGGGATAAAATATTGGTCCAATTCCGAAGTTAAATTATGCATTTGTCGTAAAATTCCATTCAATGTGGGACAAGGGTTTTCGTATTAGTTTTTGGATGTGCTAGGAAAACATATGTGATAATTTACATTCCCGCATAACCAATAGATATCGCGCACATTGATAGTTTCCGGAAAAAAAAAATAACACGGAAATAGAGTCCGAGTGTAATTACTGAAAAGAGTAAGAAATTAAAGTAAGAAAACCTACGGGGTCCTGCTTCGGTCTTATTAACAACAATACACTTTATATCTTCAAAGAATAACAGGAACCTTAAGTCAAAGGCATCTAACATCACCCTAACGTGACACGTAAGAAGAAAATCACAGTTACCTTTTCCTTTGAGTATACACCCCATTAATTATCAGGCTACCTCAAGCCTTCTATCCGCAATTATCCCTAGCAAAGTGTAAATGTTCCTGAATATCAAAGAATCTTCCTGTAATGCTTTACCTTAAATTCTTGCAGTTGAACTTGACGCAGATGTTGCCTTCGAGGTGACCCAGAAGGCAGAAAAAGTTGGATTGTCTACTACTCTCAAGTTTGATACAATACAGACGAATGTAGGGAAAGCCTATAGCCAAAGGACAGGCGTGTTTAAGGCACCTGTTTCTGGAACGTATTTGTTCTGGGCAGACGTAATGATTTCTAACCACCATAACGATGGCTATTTAACCCTGAACCAGAACGGGGTGATTCTTGACACTGCATACGCACATTCCCTGGCTGGCCACAACAACGGCCTGATCGTCCTAACAACTGTCTCCCGACTAAATCAAGGAGCCAGGATCACCTTTTCGTTTAATTCCTCCACTGCGGTCGTTGGCGGAGGCGTTTCCAGCTACGGCGGCACACTGCTACGTGCTCGTTAAAAGACTATCTTGAATGCCACACTGAAGAGTATCGGACATGAGTATCTATGTTAAATAGACCGTGTCGTTGTTACTGAAGTTGCTGTTTAAAACTCTTATTCGAGGAAAAGTTGTGTTACGAACTGTTCAATTTCTCGCCTAGTTACTTCGGAACCATGCCGGATATTACTAAGCGAAAACGTTCCTGTGTCACTTATGGGCCATCAAATGTGCCATTGCAGGGTGTCGGTCGTTCATGCAAAAATAATACTTCAAGCATAAAATTGTGTCTGTCTAAACTCGTATTAATGGTTCCGTAATGCTAATGTAATAACGCCAAAACCTTAACGTCAAATGACGTGCTCCGCAGTGACGGTCGAAATCAAAGCATGATTAGTTTAAACACTAAACAAACCAACTTTGATACAAAATACTGATATTGTTCCGAGATAGAGTCGCACCTTATACCTGTGAGGAACCCTTGATCGCAGGTTAGAATCCCGATTCGAACTATTTATGATGTCAGGGTTTTTGTTAAGGGCAGGATATTCGGTCACTGCTTCCAAGTCATACCCTTTTTTGTCTAAAAGGAGGTGCCAAAATAAGTCGTTTCTTGGTGGGTACTCGAAGGCATAATCAAGGACGCCAACAGAATCCTGGAGCCCAACAAAGATGTACCCCACCCAAGCTGCACCATACAGAACTGTGACAACCGCGTGTGCGTGGGTGCCCGCCCGGGCAGAAATCTAATGATGGTTCAGTACATGTATATGGGTACAGAGAGGTTCGAGCACGATCTAAACACATTCCAGGACATCAACGCCTTCCTCACTCTCTGCGGAGTCGATGGAATGAAAGTAACCCCGACTTCCTCTCCAACGCAGCAGTCACCTCAGTCAATGGTCACTATGGCATATACCTGCTCACAGGGAAGCTCAGGTAGTCGCCACAGACACAAGTAGCCAGCTGCTACCGCGCCTTACAAGCCCTGACCCCGACCCCCTCCAACCCAAGCCCAATTTTTTCCACCTGTTCTCTTATATTGTTCCTTGACTGCCCTCTCCCCACCCAACCCAGCCCAAACTCACCCAAGTTAGAACCTTTATTTTGTCTCGACATTTACTTTTGGGGGGATTCGCACTTTTACCTTATTATTAATTTTTATTCATAGATCACCCAGTAATATAGTGCAACCCCGTGTGCGAAATACGCTTTTATGTCGGAAAGCGCACGTTAAATATCAAATATCATCATCAATATTTGTTGGTTTCACAATACTTTTTTTGATGAGTAAAAAGCTATAACCTTTGTCCAGTATTTTCTGGAAAACAATGTTTTCAAAATATAAAATGACCTGTCCCTTATCAGCAGATTGCTAATACATCCCATGGTGCCTAAGGGGACACGGGTGGCCCAGTCGTCTAAGGCGACGCGATTCGTTGTGCAGAGTTGCGTACCTTGGGCACGCCAGAAACCTGTGATTGTGGGTTCGAATCCCGGTTCGCCTCGATTATGTTTCTAGGTTTGTCAGCACCATACCCGTGCTCGTGGGTTTCACCGAAGTGGTAAACGTCTGAGACCTGCATCACTTTGGGTTTTCCTCCCACATTAAGCTGACGTGCAGTGATATAACTGGAATAATGTTAAAAGCGGCGCTAAACCCAACTCACTTACTCATGGTGCCTATAGGAACTTATAACCATCCTGACAATATATCGAGTTGAAGACGTTCGAGTTTATGAAGTTTCAGTTTGTACAATCAAGAATTATAAGAACTCAGTAATTACGATCAATACCATAATGTCCCAGCCATAAATAACAATAGTCCCCGGGGCTATTTAACTGTACCCATGTCAATATGAAGTACGGCATTGCCATCTTTCAAAGTGTATAATTGACACTGCTCATCTGAAGTCGGGTTGATGAAATCGAACTCAGGATGTGCGTTCTTTGCACAACAACACTTGACTACGTGATCATGTCGCCGGTAATGGAAGGAAAAGGAAGATACAGTTTCAATGATAGCCACATAACCTTGGAACATGAGAAGGTCGTGTATAAAATACATGTAATTATCATTTGTAGATGTCACAACGACCTCTGTTGTGTTATTCATGGAAACAGCAACTGCCAAACGTTGGTGTTTGATGGGCTTGTTTGGGGGATGTAAGCAACAACACACAGATGTAGTCTAGTGAGTGAGTATGGTTTAACGCCGCTTTTAGCAATATTCCAGCAATATCACGACAGGGGACACCAGAAATGGGCTTCACACATTGTATCCATGTCGGGAATCGAACCCGGGTCTTCGGCGTGACGAGCGAACGCTTTGACCACTAGGCTACTCGACCGCCCCAGATGTAGTCTAAACACTATCTATTTTATTAGGTTTCAAAACGTTCAATAGACGCAGGACTATCACACACAATAATTGCAGATAATCTATCAAAAGGGGTGGTTTTGTATCTCAATTGTTATCGATTTCTCTTGTTAAATGTGCATATCTTAAAACGTTCACCATACACAGACTGCGACGGCCAGACATTGTCTTGTGCGAATGTACATGTGTCAACAATACAAGTACATGGCACAACGCCGGGTGTCACGTGACATCATCACATCACCTGCACTGAACCCCTTCACAGCGTTAGCGCGAAAGCGATTAAAAATGATACAGATCGCTTATACAAACAGAATATTTACATGAGCAACTAATTATCTATTAATTATGTACAGGTATTTATTAGCCCCGTGACAAGTTTGCAGAGTGTGGTATGAATAATATTTGACTCAAGTGTACAAACATAACAACACTAAATTACCTCCCAGACTATATAGATGCAATTCAATTCTTGACGGGTGAATATTAATTAATTTCTGACAATTACAAATATTCCAGTCCTGAATCCGGATTTTACCAGATGAACAATTAACGTGTTAAAAAAAACTGAATTCGACGTTGTATATGATTCTTGAGTGGATACTTTCAAACATTACGATGATGCCATTAATGTATGTAATGTGTTTTAGGTCAGTACAGTTGCAATTGTAGTGTGACGTTGTATTGACCTGTTCACCATAAATCAATTACAAAATTATGTATAGTCTATAGAAGACCACTCAGATTTATAAGTTACGGAAAAAACTTGAACTATTGTTTTGACTGGTATGTGCCATGTAGCATGACAACAACTTCTTTTCGCTGTATTGCGGTGTAATTCGGAAACATGACATGGTCAACTGCGAAAATGAGTGCCAAAAGAAGATTTCCGAAATTCATGTGAAAATCTAACTTTGACCAAGCCTTCATACAAGATGAATTGTTAAAAAATGTAGAGAAACATAATCTTGATTAAAACACGGGTTTGGCAGAAGAAATAGTAATCAAAGTGAACATTCGACACGGAATGAAGAGCAAACATATGACAAAATACAGAAACATGTAACGTTCCGAGGCTGTAAGTATATTTAGAAGATATCCACATACTGTCCATACTTAAATTTTCAAAATATTGAACAACAGTTGAAGGTACCACCGCGTATCATTCGTCCCCGCACGCATATTGACGTAACCTACAACACGGAGACTATACAAAGTCTACATTGACTTCATCCCCACAAGAAGACTGGAATGCGTCGGTATCTGATCAAAGGGAGATAATAATGTCACGCCAAGTTATGTCTTTTACACAACGGCTCTAAACATCGTATGACTTGCCTTTCATCACATGCTTTGTTCCGTCCATATCCGGAAAATGTTCGCTTTGTCCTGGAATGCGAAAGATTCCCCGCTGGTCACGAAGGTGACGTTCCAGACATTAACCTTACATTTCTACGTTTTCTTTTTATTGGAAGGCATATGTGACCAACTCGTGCCATTTCGGGGCAATCCGAATATAGACTCGTGTCCATGTTAAAGGATACCATATCATCATTAATTTATTATTTTCATAGATATTGTGTTACGTAAATAGGCAGTTATAAAGAGTACTAACTGTCATTCCATAACAAAAAAAAAGGAAACAAGTACAGGTTATTCTCTAGAGAAAGAAAGAATATCTGTGGGACAAGTTCTATTTATCACTTTCACACTTTAGAGAGTAGCACCAGCTTCTGGTATTCCAGATGCGGCAGTACATGGGTGTCACGAAGTGGTTATCTGACCAATATATCAATGATGAATTTTATTATTCGTCGTTCTTTTTTAACAAAAATCAATACGATATTTAGCCCTAAGTACATGATCATGCATTCTCAGTTTTATAGATAGTTTTTTGTCACTCTGAATACTGATGCACAGTGAAATATGTTTCAATATGCAAGAGCTGAATATCCTTTTGTTAAAAGGTATATTTAACATGCAATTCAACTCACCTATTCCCTGCCTTTTTATAAAATATTATTTTCTCAAATGCGATTTTAAAATAAGATGCTATACATTGACAATACCATGGTCGTTTTCAGTTTAAAATAACTTCCAAAATGACTTTATCAGACTATTTAGTTAAGAATCGCAGTCGTGATTTTGTCTTTTTCATGTTGAAAAGGACATTTTAACTTATTTACGTCATGACTTTTTCTTTTCATGGGCAGTGTTAACAAATAACATACTGTAAGGTCTTCGGGCCCACATAGCATACAACACAGAGGTACGAACACAAGACGTTTACTTGACAAGGACAATAACGAGACTGGTTACAATCGAAATCGGATCACGCGTCATAGTCTATGATTCCACGTGCAGCCACACACTACTGTTGGGGACCGTTGCGTTCGGGCGAAGCTGTCCAGTGCCGGGAACAACCTCACAATACACAATTTATATGTGCTCGTTACAATGTCATTATCAAGGAATGCCATATCCATCATGTCCAGAGATATAAGAACATGTTTTATCTGCATTTTGAACACGCTTAAGAGATATATTTTTCCAACCATAGCACCACAGTATAGTGTCGTTTACTTTTGTATTGCATTATGCTAACAAACAATCTCTTCTGCAACCCGAATTATACACAACAGTACTCAGAGACAAACGATTAGTTGGAGCAATGTGTAAATTTCGAATATCTCTTCACAACTTTCGAGTCATTATTCGTAAAAGGTCATTGTTAAATATACCTCATACAGAATCTATATGTAAAGACTGTGACCTTCATTTAGTAGAGGATGAATACCATGTCTTTTTTGTATGTAAGAAATATATTCACTTGAGAAGTACTTTTTTACCTCATCACAGAAATATTATAAAAGTAATATTACATTTGCAAATTTATTTAAATCATGTGATATCAATGTA